CGTATGAATGCTTATTCAATTATCTACAATGTGGTGTGTTAATCCTAATACAGAAAAATTTAATATGGCATAGGTATATTACTGTTTTTTCTGTTGCTGTCACCATATTTCACCTTAAAAATATTTATTTAATCACTCCTTAATCACTCCTTGCTCATTAAGGAATTTACAGTGCACTGTTCATTTCCACAACCTCAAAGTACTGTTTATCCGTTTAATCAAATGAGATTTACTGTAGCACTAACTTTTGTTGTTTCAGTAATACCACAGTTATACAGTATTGTATATATATATTATTGGAGAACAGCAAAGGCTATTGATGTGCCTGTTTGAAAAGGCCAGTTAATCCTTGTTTCCATTTCTCCAGCAGGGTGTGGTGATTCTGATTTAGAAGGTTCACTTGAACTTCAAAATGCTTACATTATTCATCAAACTGCGAAGTTACCAAGTATGAAATGCTAGTATCTCAGATATTTTTATAAACTTGAGGATTTTATGGCGTAACAGCAACTTCTTTTAAATATTAAGTCCTCTGAGATTTTTTGAAGTGTCATGGGAAAAAAAAAAAAAGGTAGTGTCTAATGTGCTGTAAAAGAAAATAAAAAATTGCTAACCAGTTTTTCTGCTAAAGAATCTCAGTTTCCTGTTGCTGTGAGCAGATACAGAGGTCCACACTCCACAGTCACTTCATTAGTAACCATCTGCAGCAGTTCTTTTGAAGTCAGTACAGTTAACCAGCTGTAAAACCAATGTTACTGAAATAAAATGCAGACCTACCATGGCCATGCTCCACGCTCAATTCTCGTGCGTCTTTCAGATGCTCACTATTGTTAATAGTGAAACAATAGTATCTCATACACTACAGAGTAGTAACCACTGGTAAATTTGTGGTTTTTATAGTGGTGATCACTGTGACTGAAGAGTAGCAAATGCAGTCAGCATGCATGACTCGTCTTGCTCAGAGCCACGCAAGGCAGGAGTGTAGCTAGAGACCTTTTGACAGCTAACGCAATACTCATTCCTCTAGAGCATATTGCATGCATCCTATACATATTCAGTTAAGTCAGAAAAAAAGTTTTTCCTACCAATCAAGGCGGTGTATGAAAATAATTCCATCTCTCTGTGCTGCATGCATCATGATTATGGATGTGCTGAAGTACCAATAATCAATCTCAGTTACTGGAGAACGTGTTGTCACTTGCTGCTCTTAGTCATGCAAAGTGTTGTACAAAGAAGCAGAAGTAATACAGCTTGATTTTCATGGAGGTATTATTGTACATGAAGTACTGAGAGGTTGTACATTATGATAGGAACACAAGCTGCTCAGTGCTGTTCATTTTGCTGTGTTTTTATAAATGATTATGGAAGTAATATACAAGCTGCGTGGTGACACTGTCAGCTAGAGTACCTTGGGCTTTTCTCCCACTTTCTTCCACCCATCTGAACAACTTGCAGAGGTGGCATCATCAGACATTTTTTCTTCTCCCAATGAACTGTTTTCTTTCTGCAGGGATTCGTTTAAAATGATCCAGTACGTATCCTATGAAATTGGCATCTCTTCGTAAGTTGTAAGTGGCAGCTGGCAACAGAACAGTTCAGAGGTGCAGGGATTGTCCGTATTAAGCAAAACAACCAACATTCATTTGCATCCCATTTACCTTGAGGAAACTTCAGCACAGGTTTAATGTTAAGCACATGCTTAGTGTTTTGTAGAGTTGTAAAACCCTGGAAAGGCTGCTCTCTCCTAGCAGCAAACGGAAGCCTAAAACTCAGTGAGTCTACTGAATTGACTTCCAGTGAGTACAAAACAAATTAATTTGAAGGGTGAAAAAAATCTCCTAAGTCTGCGCCTCGTGCCAAAGATTTTGCTACACCCAGAGCTGTAAATCTGAGGAAGAGTAAATTGGCTAATGACAAGACCCAACCTGTGCAATTATATAGGGTCTTCTCAAAGTCTGATATTTCCTTTTAGAGTCAGTATTTTTTAGGCTACAGGCTGAAACGAAGCACGCTATTAAACTGCCACTTCTGGGTATTAGGTTGTTCATGACTTCTCTCTCTTTTTGTCAGCCAAGGTTGCAATGATTTTCTCAGGGATTTTTGTTGTTATTGCCATATTATTCCACAGTAGAGCTAGGTCATAGCGTCATTTTGGGTGATCTTGAGTTCAGTTCGAGACTGGCAGTAAGAACAAATTAGATCATAGCTCTTCATATGCAGAAAAGGAAAATATAATTGTGGTTTTGTTTCATCTTTCATGCTTACAGCACTGGTGTCATTAACCCATCCATACCCTGAGAACATACAGGTTTATTTGCAACAGCTTGTAAACAAGAATGAATGAATGAATGAATAACAATAATGTTATTCAGAAAAATCTTCTTGGTTTTGGTTTGTTTAAAATACCTTAATAGAACGTATGCAAAATTCCAATTTGAGCAACTAGAATTCTGTTTCCATGGGCTCAGTAACAGTGATCATGAACCTTGCCAGTGCTCTT